GCCAGGAGGTTTCGGGTCAAGCGGATGCGATATTCGTGTTCAGCGGGTCGAACTACCCCTGGAGCCAAGTTTTCAGCAAATTCTGCCCACGGAGAAAAAAGTCGGTCAGGAACTGGCCTGATTTCGGATGGCTGGGGCAGTAAAGGGTAAATAGTGCCCATAATTTGAACGTCCAACTGGTGGTCTCTAACTTAATTCTGTTTCGGTTAAGGAATGGGATCAGGTACTTGATCTCAGACCTCGAACAATACTGATCTCTTTTGGCAGTGTAGCGCAAAGTGTACTTATGCCCGATCTGATGAAGAAGACAATCCTCGATGTTGTTAAGTCGTGAGTTTTTCTGGAAGGCATATACAAAAATGAGCTAAAAATTTTGAAACCAGTCGGTTTCTCTGCGGAACGTGAAGTATTAGGTTGTCCCAAAAGTTCTGGGACACTTTTTGAATATCGCGCCATTCCCTTTGTAGTGATTATGAAATCAAGATTTTTGATCTATGTAGGAGTGATCATGTAAGCTACCCACAGCCGGTTCACCGACCCTTGTAGCTTCTGTCCTGTTGGAAAAAATGGCGGATGAAAAGTTGCACATTCGTCATGTTTTGCTGTACGAGTTCCAACTGGGCCACAGTACACGTGAAGCTACACAGAACATCTGCTCTGCGTTAGGTCCTGATGCTGTCTCTCATAGTACGGTGGGCAGATGGTTCGATCGTTTTCGCTCAGGTGACTACAACCTGGAAGACAAACCTCGGTCAGGTAGGCCATCTCTGTTGGATTTGGATCGGCTGCGATCCCTGATTGAAGCCAATCCATACGAGACAACTCGCTCTCTAGCCGAGACCCTTGGGTGCTCCAGGAACACGGTCGATCGAGGTCTCCACTCCCTCGGAAAAGTATTGAAGCTCGGTCAATGGATTCCTCATGAGTTGACCGATCAGCAAAGGAACAAACGCGTCGACTGCTGCCTACAACTTCTCTCCCGCTCCCGCCGTACGGACTGGCTCAACAATGTTGTCACCGGAGATGAGAAGTGGTGTCTCTATGTGAATCATACCCGGAAGTTCCAGTGGCTAGATCCACTAGAAAGAGCAGAACCGGTCGTGAAGTCCGACCAGTCCGCGAAGAAGATCATGCTCTGCGGAGCGTTTATGGAGTGTACCACTGGGAGCTTCTTACCCCAATGCTACTGTGACCAGTGAGCTTTACTGTAACCAGCTACGAAGTCTGGCCAAAAACTCCAAAATATGGCTTCGCGGCTCAACAAAATATACCTCCTTCACGACAACGCAAGGCCGCACGTTTCAAAAATGACACAGCTTGAGATCTTGAAGCTTGGCTGGGAAATCCTACCCCACCCACCTTATAGCCCTGACTTGGCTCCTTCCGACTACCACCTCTTCCGGTCCTTCAGCAGCTATCTGGCCGGAAAGAATTACGATTCTCAGGAGCACCTCAAACACGTCCTAGCCTTCCTTTTTCAGCTCGAAACCGGAGAGCTTCTGGGAAAGAGGCATCCACTCTCTGCGCAGTCGTTGGCAATAAGTCGTCGATGGAGATGGTACATATATTGTTGACTGATATTGCTTGTTGATGAAATAAATTTGAATTGAAAAAAAGTTTGAAAGTGTCCCAGAACTTCTGGGACAACCTAATAAAATGAAAGGATGCAATATATTGGTGTAGGAGCCTCCGTAGTTTCATCTACGCATGTATATTCTAACACTCGTGTGGTTCTGGTTTGAATAGTTGGCAATGTTATTCTGTCTCATCTGTCTATAGTTATCTGTACTCCATCCTTGACTATAATAGGCTCAATCAAAGGACTCGAAACAAAAGCAGCGAACATATTTTTTGCTTTTATTTTGGATATTTTTTGAATGGACAAAACGTTTTATTGAGATTGAGTAGCCAAGCAACGAACTAAAGGCACACTACGGTGAGCACTTTGCGCGCGCGTTGTCGCCTGCGTCGCTGCGACCGTATATTAGGTCATCCCATTTAAAAACGGAGACATACAGAGGAAAGGCAGGAAAGCAAGGGGCTTTGGCTGTGCGGTTGTGCATCGCGTTTGAGAGCTGGTATCTTTAGCTACGCGTCGTGAAATTTGGCTAACCCAGCCACAGAAGACTCTATAGGGCAACCGAAAAGAAACCCGAGTGGTCAAAATCAGGGCCGGATTAGGCAATGGATCATCATGAGAGGAAAGTATGCTGTTCAAATTTTTCCTGTGTCGCAGTAATAGTCACATAATAGTGTTCTCCAAAACGACTGTGGAAGACTCAACTTAATTCAGGGTCTGAAGAAGGACGAACGGGAAAAAATTGTGGACGAGGAAGGCCCCATATGTTTAACCTGTACAGAAAAAGCGGGTGGATGAAGCAAAGCGTTGAATGTCTGATCACGGAAGATTTACGGTTATCGAGTTCCCCGCGAGACTGACATTTCTCCTGTAAACGTTGCACGAGTTCCTCCCGAAACTGAGGATGATGGGCACAGACCCTTTCGACTATCCTCTCGACCATTTTCTTGTAGAAGAATCACACGAGAACGAATGCAGAGCCGATTCAATGACTGCAGCAGCGATGTCGTCCTCTAAGACGACTTTACCCATCGTGGCCTTAGACGAATTGTCGGTGGTCTAGTACTGAGCTGAAACCCACAAACGTCAGCTTTGAACTGCTGACGATGAACAACTTTTTGAAGTTTATAAAATTGGATGAGTCTTCAATTGAAAAACTCATGTTATTGAAGTTTCCAGCAATTATTTAGATTATAACCTTAATATTAACTAACGGTAAAATTAGTACTAAGTTGTATAATAAAACGGATGATTTTAGCTTCAATGTAATCAGATTTCCGTATAGTGACACAACATTTCTTTTATTAACAAAGCCTCTGTCATATACACGGAAACAGGTTAGCAAATACCTGTTCGTTCTTCATATATTCGTAAGCAAAATAACGGATATGGTCACGACTCTTTCGAAAAATGGCTACGAAGAAGATTTTATTATTACTAGCATTGTGAAATGTATCCCAAATAAACAACAGGGAGGAACTACGTGACATTATGCAAGTCATAATGTGATCGCGTCACATCCCACTATTTAAGGGTGTGGTTAGGGTGGGTTGGCTATTTTTCAGGATATTTGGGTAAGTGGTTTGGTGGGAGAGGGGTTGTATTTATGTAGGTAGATATTCAGCTGATAACAAGCTAAATAATTCCAGGCCTGAAGAACCGAAATATTCGCAAGATAAGATATTTTTGAAAAACTTTTGAGACTTTTGCTGTCTTTTGAGTTTTTTGGAATAAATTTTTGGAGTTTCACATTGTTATTACACATTCAGAAAAATCAATTCAAGTTACAAATATTCAATCGCAAATAACTATAGAAAGATAACTAAACTAGTTAAAGGTACTCTCATTGCCTGTATCTGTTACCACCACAATTTTACGATTTAACTTTTTGTAATTCGCATACTCAATATTCTTTCAGTTGGCTTAGCTTGTTAACAACAATCCATTTTCCTTCCTCTTACACGTATTTAATACTCACATCGTGTTATATCCTTCTTTCATTTTTCTGCACAATTCCTCATCTTAATTGCATGAATTTTGCATGTGAACCTTTTTTACATTTTTCTCTCGTTTTATCCTATTTCTCAACTCCTTCCCCTATGTAGTCCATGTCCTCATGTCGTCAACCCTGTCGCACTGACGAGCCCGGGGGTTGGCTAGACAACGATGATTCGTCTGCGATAACGGGCGAAACGGATCATCTGTGCTTTGGAGTGTATTCTTTTTCCAGTATTTTGTTTCTCTTTGCTTCTGATTGAACAAATGCGTAGGAAAAGTCGCCGACGTTCTGTCATGAGGAGTTACGTAGGCCCAAGCGGATGATCATAATGTCGATAAATTTCTGTGCTGTTTCTTGTTAGCGGCTGTCTAAGTACGGTCTGTGATCGTGTATAGAAGTTGAGAATATGGCGTAGGGAGAGTAGTGTGGCCACGACGAACAACCTTGCACCGGTTTCGCGGCAAAAATTGTAAGGGAGGGGCGCTATAGCGCAATATAGGTTCAGTGACGCCTCTTTTTTCCAGTGACTCCGCCTCCAGACTCCGCCTTCAAGGCCCGCCTTTCAGTGAAAAACGAAGCTGCAGGACGAAAAAAGAAAGAAAAAATCGCCACTAATACGGTCATAACTGGGATCGGAATGGGATTCTATCTAAGGCAGTTGGCATGTTTTTTCCATGTCTTTTTCTTCAGCTTCGAGTTGCTCAGAACCTTCTCGTCCATATGCGAACTCTTACTCAGTATCTGTGATAGCAAATAATCGCGAGCTTTGCCTTCGAAAGAGAGCAAAACTCTCATTGTCGGTGCCTGTTCCTCGACAGTCAGATCGACAAATAGATGGTACCACACAAGCTACAAGAAGGCCATCGTTGCTCGCCATAGTGCCAGACCACGCACGAAAAACTACGCTGTGTGGCAAAGCTAGGACACAAGCAAAACTGAGTACTGGGTTTGATCGCCTCACTTGTCCAACCTACAGCCGTGCAATTTCACCTGCACTAGTCATAAAAAAGGTGCTGTCCAATGGCAAACGCTACGGCATTTTGTCATCCGCCAAAATTTGCATCAGGAGCAATGTACTTGCACTTGTTGAAATAAAAACGAAGAAGCCACTGGTCCAAACGCTCGCTCGCGAAGCCATTGGGAGCGTGTCGTTCGTGAGAGAGGGGTCTACTTATCTTTCAGCCGAGATATTACTCTTTAATCTGTTTTCCTCTTCGTTTTATTGAACTGAAACCTTCCCTATTTTTGAATGGAATGACCTAATAAGCAAATGCTGAAACTGCTTTTCATGTATAACGTTCTGCGTTAATCCTGTCGAAAAGGTGTCAAGCATTATCTACCGTTCCACTTATAACTAAATAAATGGTACATATCCCTTACTCAAATGGCGACAAACGAAAAGTAACAGAAATAAGCCTACAATGGTTTATTCAGTTCCGAAAATTCTATACAATATTCCATGCTCGCCGTGTGGGCGAGGACCGGTCTGCCACTGTATCTCCCTATTTATGTCCCACGACAAGTGTGGGACGTGCCTTTGACGATGGTCACATGTTTTTTTTGTCCGTTCCTGGATTAGATATTGAATATCTTACAATGACTTACATATATTCCTCAAGACACACTTCGTTCCAGATATTCGGACATAACTTTTATTTGGAAATATGAAGAACCGGACGACGAGATGTTCAAAGGAATCAAGAATGTGATACCGACGAAGTGGACCCCACAAGGCGATCTGTTAGGTGACACCTTC